GGGGGGGGGGGGCGGGCAGCCGATCGATGCGGCTCGTCTCGTCGTACACCGCCTGCCGACCGAGCGTGGCCGAGGTCTTTTCGATCTGCTGGTTGAGCGAGTCCAGGATGCCCGACGTCATCTCGTTGGTCGTCGACGAGATGTTGCACTGCAGCATGCTGAACGGGTCCTTGGACGTGGATGCCGGCTCGTCCGGCGCTTCGGCGCTCGAGCGCTTGATCACCATGTGGCCCGTCATGTACTGCTCCACAAAGCGACGCGACGAGTCGACCGCCGCGGCGTCGGTGGTGGAGGATGCGGCTGCTTCGGCTCCTGCCGCTGCCGCAGCGCCTTCCGACGACGACGATGGCGCCGAGAGGCCGTGCAGGCTGTTCTGCAGCGCCTGGATGATGCGCACCCACACCTCCTCGGCATCCTGCTGCGCAAAGCTGTGGCCGTCCCTGGCCATCTCGGCGAACTGCGGCGCCACCTGCCTGAGGATGGTGAGGAAGGCAAACGGCGGGAAGGGCTCGGTGGTCTGGCTGAGATTCTTGTACAGATCGCGCAGCGCGGCAGTAAGATTCCTCTCGCCATCCGCGCCGCCGAGGCCGCCGTCAAACTTGCCGAGCGCCGTCTGCAGCTCGGGGATGGCACGCAGCACCTGGAGCGTCGAGTTGAGGTAGCACGTGTTGCCGAGGTTGGTGAGGCCGACGCGCGACTGCGTGGCGAGCGCCAGTTCGGACTCGGTCATGTCCTCGATGAACGTGATGGGGCCCGTGGGCGCCTTGGGCAGCTCGCCCGCCGTGCCGATGACCATGAAGGTCTGACCGGGGCGCGCGCCGATCTTGGTGAGGTCGTGGTCGTCCTTGAGCATGCCGCCCTTGACCATGACCTTCATGCGGTCGGCAGGCACGCCCGTCTTTTCGTACACCGCCTGCTTGAACGCTGTGGCTGGCTGGGCCGTGTCGAGCGCAATGTCGTGCAGCTTGCCATTGTGCTTGACCTTGATGGGGATGGTGGACGCCATCTTTGCCATGGGTGCGTGTGAGAAGCGAGAATACGTTCGCAAAGTGCGCGCGGTCTCCGAGGTTGAGAGGGGGGAAAGGAAGGATGTGGTGAGGAGGGAGGCGGCAAAAGCAGCGACCAGGTGCGAGAGTCAACGTGCTGAGTTGGTCTGGGCACGGACGCGACACCCCGCTTGCTTGCCAAGTGGAGTTTGGCGCACCAAACAGGGCGGCGGCGAGAAGAACAGCGCAGCAAAGGACGCGTTGCTCGGTGGCTCAGCAGCAGCGCAAAAGAGCACGATCACCTGCTGCCCGATTTGCCCAACCGCCCACTTTTTGGATTCCAAATTTCCGCTGGTGTGCATGTGCAAGCATCCTTCTTGCCGCCGCCGACTTCTTCACAGCTGCCCCTCCGTCCGGCGGGTCATGGCCGGCTTCGAACACCAGCATTGCCATCACTCATCGTTGGTTTGCAATGCCTGCTGTTGAGACTGTACGCCTTCGTATCCGTTCGCGATGATGGTCGAAGTTCATGCAGCTCTCACTGAAAGGAAAGAGCGTGCAGTCGTCAGGCTGATGCGAGGTGGGACAAGGGTACAAAGATGTGATTGCAGGTACAAATACAGATGCAAAAGAGCCAGAGCCAAGAGACGAGAGCCGGCACCGGTCAAGCGATTACAGCAATCGACAGCGACCGAGCCAGCATGAGGAGACAGTTGTGTGTAGAACGTCGGAATCAGAGCAGGTCAAAGTCGTCGAGCTCGTCGTTGTACTTGGCGATGGTGCGCTTGATCTTGCTCGTGTCGACCCAGGTGACGAAATCCTCCATGTTCCTTGTGACCATGAACGCTGGATCCGTGATGGTATCCGGACCCACACGGACATGACCCTGCTCGACGTACTTGACCGCCTGTCCGACCGTTTCGGACATCTTGAGCCGCACCATCACCACGGGCAGACGGCGCCTGCAGAACGCGGACACGTTGAGTTTGTTCGTGATGTCGGACATCTTGGCGCCCGTATCGAGGAGTCCCATATCGTACAGCTTGGCAAGCATACCCTGCTCGTGCTTGCCCCGGAAAGGATCCGCAACGGGAAGGGTGGAAAGACGCAGTGCGAGGTGTCGAAGCTTGCCTACGAGCTTGTTGTACTTGTGGTAGTCGTCGCGGTCTTGAATGTGGTAGCGACGCATCACCTTCACCTCGCGCATACCAGCATCTTGCTTCCATGCCAAGAAGTCATGCCTGCATTGTCAAAGGAGCCGAGAAGATGGACGGTTGTCAGCTACTTGCTTCTGACAGGCTATGACTGCATCCACGATGAGCCAAGACCACGCGCTACTTACTTTTTCAGCAGCTTCTGCTCGTGAAATTTGAGCTGCCTCATGTTCGATCTCCTCCGAGATGGTAGAAGGAAAGGTTGGAGATGGGAAGCGCCGTAGTGAAGTCGTCGGACGAATGCGGTCTGGGCCGTTCAAGGTCGTAGCAGTCTAGCCTCGTACAACGGTTGTGGTTGCAACGTGTTGTTGCGTCTGCGAATCGTATGGTCCCGTCCTGGATGTCAAAGAGTGAGAAAGAATCGAGGAACGCCGCTCGAGCACGATTGCAGGTGGCGGCAAGTATGGAGAAGGCCATCGAGTTGCTCAGGGTTTGGTGGCAGCCCGTATTGAAAATTTTGGGACTCGGAACCCGGAGACAATTTTTCACTCTCGCCTGTGAGATCGCGTGTGTCTCGTTGGCTCAAATCGGCACATCGACTCACATCTGCCCGACGACCATGCACAAGAGAGCATCGACTGCTGAGAAACAAAAGGTCCATTACAGGTGACATACCAGACAGACAGAGAACAAGAAGCACACACACGCATGGCCACGATAGACAAGTCGGTTGCCCGTGGGCATGCTGCGACTAGTTGAGGATGGCGAGCAGCACGATGGCCACGACGAATCCAACGACGAGCAGCAGGCAGATGCACCTTCGTCCGGCCCTGCGCTGGTACTCGTGCGCCACGACCAGCTCTCTGTCGGCTCCGGCGGTGTTGTCTGCGATCGAGTTGATGTTGAACTCGATGTTGTCGATCATGCCGCCCTGCTCCTGCACAATGTTGCCCAGGTCGCGGAAGATCTCGTTGAGCTCCTGCACACCGGACTCGATCTCTCGGATCTCGGCCTCTCGCGAGGTGATGAGCGACTCCTGATACTCGAGATCTGCCTGGCTCGGTCCCTCGGGTAGCAAATCGAGCGACTCTGCCTGCAAGCCTCCTGCGTCCGCACCCGCCTGCTGCTGCTGCTGCGACGACGCCGCGCCCCGATCGGCCTCTTCGGTGTCGATGAGCAGCTGCGAGTTGCGCGATCGCAGCATCTGGCGCTCCTTCTGCTTGTCTTGCTCCAGCTTGGCGCGCGTCTTGGCCACCGCATCCTTCTGCACGCGCTGGAACTGCATTGCGGCCGACTGGAAGTCGCGCTGCAGCTTGGCCTGCGTCAGCTTGGCCGCTCCACTGGCGGAGCCGAGCGGGAAGGTGGAGAGCTGCTTGATGTCCGTGGTTACATCCTTTACGAGCTCGCGCGTGGTCTCTATCAAGTCGTTGATGCGCTTGCTCCAGTCCTGACCCGCCGCTTTGGACGGTGCGCTGGATGTCGAGGGCGAAGATGAGAGCGTGATGAGCTTCTGGATGGCGGTGACGTTGGAGTTGATCTTGAAGATCTGGATTCCGATCTTGGACGTGAGCTTCTCGAACTCTGGCGGTAACGTGTTGGACACTTCGTCACGGTACAGCGGCAGAGGCGTCTTGCGCGAGCCACCGCTGCCGCCCGCACCGCCGCCGCGTGATGAGGAAGAGCCGCGCTCTAAGTCATTGAACGACATTACTGAGGTGTTACGGGGTCGAGTCGAGCTTGTGAGCCTGCGTGGTGATGTAGGTAAGGCGGACGTGTGCGTGCGAGTGCGTCAAGAGCAAGCTGGTGGACTTGCGACGAGTTCGGGTGCTGAGGCGGTGGTCTCGTGGGATGTGCCGGGGTAGATGGTGATCCTAGCGATGTATTCAGAGTGTAAGCTTCGATTGGTTCAAGTTGATAGGGACGCTGAAGGACGGATCGTGATGCGGAGATGGTGGATGCGAGCGCGACAGGTGTGCATCGCACCATCAGGCGTTGGTGGATGCTGGCTGGTGCTGAGCCTGGCCCCTGTTGGATGACGCATCTGCTGCCGTGCCTGTGCGGTCCACTGCGCATGCCCAGCCAGCCAGTTTTGGCTCGCGTTGGGACCCCGACCAACTTCCCCGATGCGACGCCCATCCATGCTACGGCCTAACACGTCCAGTTCAAAAATCGCCGCCTGGCAATGCACTCAAAAATTTAGGCTCAGGAAGTTTTACAGTTCTTCTGCCTCCACCCAGCACCCTTGCTTTGGCCTTCGAGGTCTTGAACCGACCCCTCTTGCCACCACCTACATACCCACTTCAGACACCATGGACCAGGACATGGACCTCACGCTCTCGGGAGCAGCGCGGGCTCCCGCTCTCGCATCCACCTCGAGCCTCTACCGCGCCCAGGAACCGTTCCACGTGCAAGCCATTCCACCACACGCGGCACCCAACGCCTCTCCCGCCTATGTCACGCATCTTGTCTCGCTCAGCACATCCTACGGCGTGCCCACGCTGCTTGCCGTTGCTGACGACAGCACGCTCACGCTGATCGACAAGGTATCCGGCGTGGTCGCCGAATCGCAGCGTGCGTTTAAGGATGCACGCATCACCCAGGCCAAGCCCCTTGCGCCTGGCTCCGGCAGCTTTGTCGCCAGTGTCTCCAATGGCACCGTGGCGTGCTGGGACACGAGAGCCGGCCTCGCACGACCTGTGTGGACGCTTCAAGGCGCCTCCAAGGCGCCGTATCTGTGCGTGGAGCCCGCGCCGCACGATGCCAACATCGTCGTGGCAGGTACCGAGCAGTACGGACACGGCGATTCGGACATCGACATTTGGGACATCCGATCCGCAGCAGCACCACAGAGCAAGTACAACGAGGTGCACAGCGATGATATCACTGTGCTGCAGTACCACCCGGACGCGGTCAACCACAAGGGCATCCTGCTGAGCGGATCGACCGACGGCCTGGTGTCGGCCATCGACACGACCATCGCCGAGGAAGACGACGCAGTGATCTCGGTGGGCAATACGGGCAACTCGGTCGCACGTGCCGGATGGATCTACTCTTCTACGCCATCCTCATCCGCGGCCGCGGCGATGGACACGGCGATGGAAGATGGAGGTGAAGAGTCGGACCTGCGTCAGGTCGAGACGGAAGCGCGTCGTCGTGCTCTCGGCAAGGTGTGGGCAATCGGCGACATGCAGACGCTCTCGCTCTTTGACGCAGACAAGTTCGATCCGCTACTACCCACCACCGATGTGCGTTCGTCCAACAGCCTGCGACCGCCGTGGTCGACCGACTATGTCATCGACGCCTTCAGCACGCTTCCGTCGTTCCCCAACCCCACCGTCGCCCCGGGCGCAGAAGACCTGACGCTCTTCGTCGGCAGGTCGGAAGGCGCGTTCGCAGCCATCTCCATCCCAATTTCCAACCCGAGCCAGCTGTCGTCCTGGCACCTCCGCGCGGTCTTCCCCGAACAAGGCGATGGCACTCTGTATGGTCACGCCGACATCATCAGGTCCGCAGAGTGGGATCCCAAGACCAACACGCTCTACACGGGCGGTGAGGACGGAAATCTCTGCTTCTGGAACTTTGACAACAACGCCGCCGCCACCCCCGCAGCAGTCTCAATTCCCACACTCGGCTCCTACTCGGCACCAGCGGCAAGTGGCTCAGACAGCCAGGCTTCCAGCAGGTCCGCGTCGAGGAATCACACCCCCGCACGAACCCAGCGATACACACCGTACAAGTAGATGTCCATGTTTGCATTGCAATCTCACACGCCAAGGCGGCATTCAATCGGACGTTCGACACGTGGAAACATGGTTGTATTTCTGGCTTTGCTGAGCGAATGTGTGCGACGAACGGGGTCAAATCAATGTGGTGGTTGGGTGGGTATATGGTCGACCGGCGGAGAGCAGCGGCGGGGCTATTTGCGGGAGAACCAAGACTTCTTGGTGGCGGCGCCCGAGGCAGGTGCGGCCGAGGTGTCCTGCATGGGCTGCTGACCTGCTGCTGCGGGGGCCTGGAACGCGGCCTGGTTCGTACCTGCCTTGTTGTTGTGTACGAGGTTGGTCGTCGAGTTTCCAGCGGTGCTGCCGTTACCCACCGCCGAACTGGTTGCGCCGCCGGACTGCTGCACATGGCTCTGTGCGGCGCTCTGGCCCGGATGCGTATCGTTTGGCGATCGGGGCGTGAGGTCAGGCAGTCCGTTGGCGATGTTCTCCTCCCCCCTCACGCGCAGCAGCTCCTCGAGCAGCTTGGCGTTCCTCGAGTTGGCCCTCCAGGCCGCCAGTGCCACATCGCCCACCAGAGGCACGAGACCAATGCCCGCCGAGACGGCATTGTTGAACAGCATCTGCTTCACCAGCCAGTCGGGCGCCTCGTCCAGCTCGCGTCGCACCGGCTTCACCACGAGCGTGTAGTTGAGGATCGCATCCGTAATGTCTCCCAGTCCAGGCACGAGGCCGATGAAGAACGTCCAGCCAAAGCGCAGCCCGCACACGTAGAAGCCCTTGTCGAGATAGTGCGCGCGCTTCTTGATCTTCTTGAGCAGCTTCGCCTGCTTGCGAGTAAGACCGGGAGGGAGGGCACGCTTGCGTCGTTTCTGCTTGCCATCGTTGCCCGTGTAGAACTCGTACAGCGGGTCCTCGGGTTCGTACCGCTTCGCCTGGCCCGACACGAATCGCTTGGTCACCTTGTTGGCCACGTAGCTCGCCATGGTGTCGATGAAAGAGTCAAGTGTTGTGATCTGCCTGCACGGTGTGCTGGAAGCGCAAAGTTGGATGTGGGCAGGGAGGTGTTGGTGGGCGGAAAGCAAGATGTTGCGTGGCGGTCCAAGTGGTTTATGTGTGAGCCCTGCAGCTGCCGCCAAACCGAGAGGTCTTGTAACAGGAATGCGGCCTCGTGATACCTCGAATGCCGCTTCAGCTCGTGACACTTGTGCCTGCGGCCCGCTGCATCTGCTGTCATGCGGGCAAGCGAGCGTGAATCGCAGCACGAACCCCAGCCCGTCGCATGTGGAGCACCGCCCGCCGAGAAAAGTGACACAGCCCAGCGCTATTTTCGGCTGCCAGAGCTGTGACGTAGTTGGCGATTTTCGCGCAGCAATACCATGTCTACACATCACGGGCTAACATGTGCAATTCTGCCCGCCCATCACCATGAAGACGATACGACCAGCAAATGCCAAGTCGATGCACCGATCTGGTCGGTTTAACCTTGGCGAACATAGACTTGAGCTTCAAATGAGCTGGAACCTGCTCGCTTCAAGCCTAGTCGCCAAGACGATGCGAGACGTTCCCGCCAAAGCATCTCTCTTCTTGCCGTGTCTTGAATTCTAGCGCGGACTAGGATACACCTTCTGGCTTTCCGCGGAGCCTTGCTGGTCAGTCACAGCTCTCCGTGGGACCCCATGGATCCCCACAGGCCGCTGAGCAAACCATTGTCGGGAAGCCACTTCCGGTGCCCACGCCGATCTCATTCTAACTCTAAAGATTAAGGCGCTTCGCGCGGCTTTTTGCAAAGCTTGTCTTACGAAGATCGTACCGAGCTCCCGAGATGTGCTTTCGTCTCAGACATATAAGTGCGCCAGATTTCAGATGTTCCATTGATGTGAGGACGGGGGGCGATCACAATGTCGACACTCGACGGCGCAGTGCCGCTGGGGCTGGGGATTACCAAGCTGAGGCTTTGGGACGAAATACATCGTGCACACTGCGATGACTTTCGGCCCCGTCAGCCCCAGGTCGATCAGCTGCAGGTCAGAGAAGCTGGACGATGCAAAGTCGTCTTGCCATCTTGCTCGTCGGCTGCTGCAGCAGTGGAGGAAAAGCTGGAGCATGATGGTCTTTTTGACGAGGATGTCCTGGAGGGCACCCGGGAGTCACTTGCGAACTGGTTTCTCGCCACTGTATGCAGTCCTGCCCCCTGCAAGACTACGAAAGTAGATAGCCAGGGTGTGGTATTGCCGCCACCACCTGTCAAGCCCAGGCCGTCGTTGCGACATCCACCGCCGCTGGACGCGCGCCTGAAGGCAAAGGCACGCCGGGCGAGGCGCAAGCAGCACAAAGCCGAGCATCGACGCCGGCTCTTCCTCACGCACATGGTCCAAATGACCAATCTCGTCCGACGCCTCGCCTCTCATCAGCCCTCCAGCTGCCCTTCCACCTCACAACTATCGCGTCAAGGGTCCCGGCACGCACTGTCGCTGCTGCCCGAGGCAGCAGGCGTCGATGTGGCGCGCTTCGTCGATGTCGTCTTTGACACCGACGCGCAGTCGTCCGAGATCACAGCACCGTCCGAGATGTCTGACAAAGACTTAGCACATGCCACGCGCGCAGAGATCGAGAAGCGCATCCGGATGGCTGGCGCCGATATCGTGGTGCCAAAGGGCGTCTACCGCTGGATGGTCGCCAGCGACTTTGCAAAACGCTGGCCTAGCAAGGTGCGCCACGTAAGGCAGAACCCTTGGCCAGGACTAGAGCACGTTTGGGGCCTTCCGTCCGGTTTGGGTGGTGGAGAGGTACCAGACCCCGAACCAGTGCGCTGGCAAAGCGGACCAAGAAGCCGCTTTTTCCGACGCAACCAAGCGGATGTATCCAGACCTGCGGCTATGGAACCCGCACCGGGCCTCGCGACAGAGTCGTCTTCCCAAAAGTGCTGTTGAAGCGTCTATCCGGCTTTCGTCTAATTTGATCCTTGTCGTGTCTACTTTACAAGATGCTTCGATGGCCGTGTCTCGCATCTGCATGCCGATTGCGTTGCTACGACCTACTTCTTCTCGGTCGTGTCTAGCACTGTTGATATGATAGCATAGAGGATGGTCTGTCAGCCGAACCTCGCTCGGTCTCGAGAGCGGCAAGCATGATGCTGAACACTTACAGATCGTAACCGGTCCTGTTGGAGTTCGGTCGTGTCAGTGCAAATATGAAGCGTCATCATCTGTCAGTGATCTGTGCGAGCCACCATCGCCGAAGGACAAAGCTGGCTTGCTTACCGTCGTTTGTCAGCGAGACGTCCATCATCTCGCCGAAGGCGCCGTCCTTGATCCTGTCGTGCGCATAGCTGTCACCCAGCTTCTTCAGCAGAGCCTCGTAGATAACCCGTGCATCGTTGCCGCCCATAGCGCGGTGGAAGTCTGGCTTGGTACCCTTGACAGTGCGTGCGAACAGCGTAAACTGCGAGACGCAGAGCACCTCGCCTCCAAGCTCGACCACAGAGCGCTTCCACGGCTTGCCGCCCCACACCTGTTCCGAACGCGCTTTGGCCTCCTCAGTCTCTCCGTTTGTAGCTGCTGCCGCGGGCTCCGTCGACTCGTTGGCACCGTTCGAGCCAGAGGCTTCTGGCTCGTACTGCGGCGGGATGGTGATCTGTGATGCCTCCTGGTTCTCGTTCCACAGCTTGGTACTGAGGATCTTGTTCGCAAGCGGTACGATCTCAGCCGCGGTGTCTTCCGTTGAGATGCCGATTAATGCTACGATGCCTGGCCCGATCTTGGAGACGAGCTTGCCATCGACTGATCATATCGTAGCATCATCAGAAGCGGGGTGCGAACGTCTGCGTCAGGAATGAGGTCATCTTTCGTGTCCTAGGGCCGCCAGCTTACCATGCACGGTCGCGCCTTTGACGCGCTGGAGTACAGCTCTCATCGTTGCCTTTTTTGGTGGAGGCGCAGAGGTGAGCCGGTGGCGAGAAGAAAAGATGGTGTTCCGGAGCGAGAGTTGACACGATAAGGGCTTATGCACGTCCAACCCCACATCATGCGAAGAAGTCCCGCGCTTACCGCGGCTAAATACAGTAAAATCGGCATATCGGGCCCGATGCAAATCATCACCGTCGCGCAAAGGCACGTCTGCTCCTGGCTCGCAGGGTCTCGACCTCATAGCCTCTGTCGGGTTGCGTGCGGACGACTGCGAAGAGCTGCATCACAACGGTTCCAGTCCACAACATCCGGAAACAAGTCGCTGCAATGAGCTCAACTGACCACTACCGTACCCGACACCGTGGCAAAATGATATCATTTCCTACGAATTGGCGGCAATTGTCAACTTTATCACCGGTCCGGCGAAACCCGACCGACCTTCTGAGGAAGGATCACTGACGATTTGACCTTCTGAGCCTGGGTAGCCGAAAAATATATAGGGCTACTCGATGAGCCCTCTTGATGTCAGTATCTCGACAGCTTTCTACATCCCTTCCATTTCAGAATGACTCCTCTTCGTCAATTGTCTCTCAGTTGGGTCGCAATCACGGTCATTGTGGCTCAACTGGCCTTCGGATTCCTGCCGAGCGACCTCGAGCGAGTAGTTGCCAGTACGAGGGACGAAGTCCTCTCGCGTCGGCCCTCGTCAAGCTTGAGCCCCCAGCAGGTCGAAGCTGAGCTTGCTGAACACGAACCCCTCCAATGGGAGCACTTGGTCACACAGGATGACATGGCGCGCGTATATCCATACGCGCCGGCGTCAGGAATCGAGTACCAGGCTGCAAAGGGGCTCGACAAGGACATGAGCCTGCTCCAGCATGACTTCGAGTACATCGCCAAACACCCCTATCGCCAATTGACCCAGGCTGAAGTTCGCGATGCTTTGCACGCCTTCATGAAGACGATTTTGGACGCAACCGGCTGGCATAAGGTAGGGCTCGAAGAAAAAGCTTGGCCACACGATGGTCGCCCGAGTGAGGCAGACTTTGATAAGTTCCTGGAGCAAGCGACCAGGCGTGGACTGTCTTTTGGGATGTGGCCCATTGAGGTTGGCAATCGCCGATACTTGATGGCTCAACTCCTCGCCCAAACGCCGGAATTTCGGGCTGTACACGGATTCAACACCGCGACTTCGAATCATATCTACCTTGGTGTCTGGGAAGAGGTCGGCGCGCCTAAGTCTCATATCTTCCAGTATCTTGGAGCCTTCAACTATCTGACTCCGCGTCGCTTCCACGGATTCAAGAAAGAGACGCTCAAGGACACTGCTAGGGGCGTCAACCGCATTCGTATGTGGGGATCATCGCTCATGTATGTCAAGTTTGCGGACGAGGTGCGGGCTCCGGTTTACCTCGACCGTCCTTCTACGTAGTAGCGTCGCCTGTTGAATACATTCCCGCGCAACTGCTGAATGTCATCGCTTCAGTTGTTCGATTCAACTCTTCAACTCTTAGATTGGGCCTGAAATTCGCGAGAAAGTTAAATCGCTCGGCCAGGAGCAAAAGTCCAGGATGTGGTCCCACAAGTTTGTCTGCGCAAGATGGCGATAAGTGTCGACATGAAGGTCCCACAACTTTCCGTGTGTTTAGACTGCAACCTCCGCTCTCGGTCTGCGACGAGATGCTGCAACGGCTCTAAGGACCTTGAGGACCTTTGAAGAGAGCCGGAGGCCGCTTTACCAGCTTCTGTGGAAGTGTAGAAGGCTGTTGCAACGAAATCAGACCTTTTCATTACAGTAGATCGTGCTCGATGCGGGCGTCATGCGCGGTAGTTGCAAAGTGACTCGCGGTGGTGCAGGAAACTTTGATGAAGAGGCGACGCTGCGTCGGCTAGGCTTTGTTATGATATGATATCGGAAAGCCGCATGTGAAGCGTGGGTGTTGATCCTTTGAGTTCGGATTGTTTGCCTTATGAGATAATGCGGTTGTATCGCAGGCTTGTCTGACAACCCCATCGGGGCTCGGCCGATCGAGCTCGATTCATATTGCAGATGGGGGCCAAGCCCTTCATAAGATCGTTGCTGAGTTCTCACCGGAGAGCCATTGTTTGATATGAAATCGTATAGCACCCACGAGCAAGCGAAAAGGTGACTCCTCAAGGTTGGCTCTGTCTGCCGTGCTGGAGCACCAATGCAGCCGATCAGGCTACGTCAGTCCCGACTCTGTACCCATCTGACTGATTGGAATACAGATAAAAGCGGCTTGAGCGGTCTCATGTCCTCGACGCCTCTCGCACAGACTCTCCACCGCTCTCACATTCTTTCCGAGATCGCGCGGCTTCCTGCAGGATGCGCTTGTCTATCTCTCTTGTAATTGTGGCGATTCTCGCACTGGCAGGCGGTGTCTGCGCTGGTGATGACTACTGGAGAGGTATTGCAGAATTGGCAAACCTCGCTGACAATGACGAAAGAGTTATGCACTTCCAGACCACTGGCGAGCTTGTTCCAGACGTGGGGAAGCAAGCCGGACAGAGTGGAACTCGAGAAACCAGACGTCGTTCTC